AATTTAAAATCGAAGATAAAAACTTTTCAAATAGTCCTATTGAGAATACTGTAAACCCTTCAACACTAAATAATAATTTTGTATCTATTGATAATAAGACAAGCATTACATCAGATTCTTCAAAAATGCAAACAGAAAATAATTTTAATAATCTTAATATTAATAAACAAGTAACTATAGATCAATTAATAAGTCCTCCATTAAGTCCAGAACCAACTCGATTGAATTCCATTCCTAATATTAATCAACAAATGGAGCAGAAATATAACCAGCAGTATAATAATAATAATAGTAATCAACCATATAATAATTATAATGATCAATCACACAATCAACAAAGTAATAATAACCACCCATACAATCAACAGTACAATCAACAGGATGAACCAAACTATAATGGCAGTTTTGATTCTAACAATCAACCTCAAATGGCACCAGAATCCACTGGTATTATTTCTCCTACAAATCAAATCGAACTGAACAATAATAATATTCAGCCTCCTAATTCAAATACCTTTGTTCTACCACTTCCTGATGAACCAAATCAGAATATAAAAGCGAGTATTACACCTGCTCTAGGTAGTGATTTCATGGACTTTACTGAAGATGATGAAGAGGAGGGTAATAATAATTATAACATTAATAAAAAATCTAGCAGTAAAAATGCCCTTGCAGAATATAATAAAATGATGACTTTAAAAGTTCAAGAAGAGAAAAAAAAAGAAAAAGAAAAACCAGGAGGATTATTCAAGAATTTACTTAAGAAAATTTCACCAAAGAAAAAAGATGAATCTGTCAAATTAGAAATAACCAAAAATTTCTCATCGTCATCACTACCACCACCTTCACCATCATCTTCACTACCCTCATCATTTACATCATCATCATCACCATCCAATTCAGCAAAAATTTATAATAGTTATACAACTGATTTCAATAATGCCATGAATCATATGTCAAAATCAACAAATAACATCACACCTAATTATATACCACCAACAATAAATCAAAGTCAGTACCAAATACAACAACAGAAACAACAGAGAGTGCAAGTGAATCCACAACAAGGTTTTCAAATATCTCAGCAGCAACACCAACAATTATTTCAACAACCTGATATATATCCACAAGGTCAACAGAATAATTATATGTCACTTGGTGATTCTCAAAGGCCCTTTCTCAACATTCAAACACAGCATCAACAACAACAGTCTACTTGTTCAAATCATAAT